TCTATATTGCATAAAAACGAAATGGCTTCAACCAGAAAATAAACAAAAAATAAACAAAAAAAAATAAACCTGATGTATTCTGTTACATCTGCGGTGAATAGACCCTTCTGCCTAACAGGAATCCAGTCCCAAGTTTCATATACTTTTTTTGGTATGAAACCTGGAGATCAGAACAAAGCTTGAACGCCGCACATGGTTTGCAAAGCATGCACCGAGTACCTGCGTCAGTGGCCAGAGGGCAAGAGGAGTTGTCTGAAACAGAAGTTCAAGCCCTAAATTGGAAACAATGACGACGGTAACATGCACTTTACGTGTCCACAACCTTAATTAATTAATCAAGGTGGACTGGTACATTTACAGTAACCGATGTTTGTAACATTTCATCAATAGATTGTGTTAGAAAACAATATCTTAAAAATCTAATTCGGATGAGAAATATTACTAAAAATCAACCGATAATGTCAAAAAATCTAATTATCCATAATTATCCATTTAGACAAAAAACTCAGATTTAAAAATGAACTTAGCATAAAAACGTGACCTGATTGTTATTTTTGGATTCAGTAGTGGATGTTTGTATTAAATCAATTGTCAAAAGATAAACTATTTAAAAAAAAACATTTTTTTTGTAACCCTGTGCTATTTATAGTAGGTTATTTCTAAAGCAAAAGAGTACATTTCACTCTCAACCTGTCTCATCTTTTGGATCACTTTGAAATATCTGTTGAAACAAATGCTAGTTTAAACATTATAGTTTCACTTTTCTTTAGACATACTGAACAGTATTCCTTACTTCTGATACAAATGGGTAATCAGGGCTGGTTTGATTTGAAGTTTGAATTCATGTTCCTCATCGTAGGGGGACGTTTTGTAGTGTTGCAAACATGATCTATTTAAAAGAAAATCACAAGAAGATTATTATTATTATTTTTTGTATTACATAAGCTTGATAAGCATGCATTCTGAAACGTTTTTAAAAAACCAAGGGGTTTACTGTGTGAGAAGAAAGAGGCGGTCGTAGGGCAGAGCCAGGAAGGTTCCACAGGTCACAATGATCTCCAGCAGATGGTGCAGTTTCCTGAGTCGGACCACTTGCTCCTGCAGATCAACCTCTGTGCTCAGGAAGTAACACTGTGGAGAAAATGACTCTCAGTTCTTCGCTTAAACTCAGATGTGAAGTGACATTAAACAGTAATCTCACCAAGTGGTTTAGAGTTGTCAGTTCTTCACCTGGGAAATAAACAAATATGATACAGTAATAGATTAAAAGTGGTTTCACATCTATATAAAAACTGTGCGTAGAAATTAAGAATGATCACAAAGTTACCAATCAGGTAGTTGATATAATCTTTTCTCATCTTGTCCAGACCCATCTCCAGGAGCATGATAATGGGGGTGACACCTGTAAGAGAGACGTGTTCGATCTGCTGGTGGTAGGACTGCAGAATAAGCTTACTGAGGGAGCTGCTGCTGTCTCTGTGAATCTACAGTGGGTCCAACAAAACCAACAAGAATCCTCAGTCACAATCAAAGACTTGTACACCACTCAGTTGTGAACAGGTGTCTCCATCTGCACGCTTCTTACCCAAGGCTTGATATCGTCATATCTTAGAGCTTCAATCACCAACTTCAAACTGTCTCTGATGTCCTCATATGATGTCACGCCTCGTTTAAAAAGAAAAATGATTACCTATAGCCTTTGATAAAGTCACATATACTGTAATAACTAAAATAATACTTTTTCTTAACCGAATCCACAGCTGCTCCACAAAATCCAGGTTGCCTCTTTCCAAGAAACAGTTGAAAATGGGGGGGTCCGTCTCAGATTTCAGCTTTGTGGTTTTCAACAAAGCACAACAACAAATACATCAATTTTATTTTTCTTTTACATTTGAGATGAAGCTCATTTTAAACATCATCATACCTCTGCTGTTTTTGCAGCCTGGTCTTGTGACGTTATTGCAGTGGTCTTAAGTTCTGAAAAAGAAAAAAGTCGTTTTAACAGCGTGCTAGCTTCTCAGCATGCTAAAGGCGCATCGATCTTACTGAATACAGACACCTTCAAGGTAGGCCTTGGTCACATTTACAGCTGAAGTGCTTTCTATGGGCTCCATCCATTCAGTCTCACCGGTTTTCAAACAATCTGCAAGACTCTGAAATAATCAAACTGATTCATTTAGTTATTCATTGAAATATTTATCATTATCTTAAATTACAATAAAACACAAACCCGAAGAAACTCCAGCTCCCTATACATCTCAAACATCGGACTTCTCATATCTCCACTGGCAACTTTGATATTCTGCAGGCAAACAAAGACACACAAGACAGGAATTGTGTTTTATGTCATTTCTGTTATTTGACTAAGTAACCATTTCTAAAGTAAAGCATAATAAATATGATGTTTTGGGTATGGATGGTTGCTGTTCACCATTGTTGCTGTTGAAGACAAAGGAGGAGCCTCAAGTACGCTCTCCACGTGACTCCATTTGAAATCCACGGTCACACTGCTCTGTGACTCAATGATGGTGTTTTCAAAAACAGTGGAGCCAAACAAGCTGAACCTGGCATTTCCTTTAAGCCCCATCTAGAACACAATGACAAGTAAAAGTGAATAAATAACCATCAGTGTAGATCAGCCAAAGAGAACACAGTCTGCCTTACTGAGGATGGATGATGTCGTTTCTTATGCTCTTGTTTCAGTTCCTCCAAGGTAAGCAGAGATGGTTTGTCCACAGTGGAACCTGGCAGCATAAAGACAAGTGCCAAAACCACACAACAATTATTTTGTGTTTAAGGATTTCTCAGAATAGTTGGCATAGCAATGATGTTTCAAATATACCTTTGCAGGTTACAGAGTACAATTTGACACCAGTCACTTTATTTCCCACGCAGACTGGTTCAGCACCAAACCAAGTTGTTCCAGCAGGATCAGACATGTCACATCGAACCCAGAGAGGGTGTAAAACAAAACTGCTGTCCACGGCTGACACGCCAGAGTTTTGAAATAATGTGTACAAAGACAGCAGCTGTCTATAAGAAAAAAAAAAGTGGTTAATTACATATGCAACCTCATTTAAAATAAATGCAAAGAAAAAAAAACTTAACCAATGTTCACCTTGCTTTTGTGACTGTAAGCGGCTGCGGTCCCTGTTCATTTTGTAGAACATCACAACCATCATCAGCATCAGATTCTGATCTCTCAATTACTTGTTCGTCATCTGGTTCACTTAATTTTGGAACCTAGTGATATAAATTTAGCAAAAAGTGAAGTAAAAATCACCGAACTGAAAATAAAATCAGTGCAATAATTCCTCTCAGATTTAGGTCTATGTAATTTGCCAGTGACGATTGTTAATTTAACAGTGTTAAGTTATAATAAAGCCCTTTCACAAATTATGTGTAGCTCTTAGAACAACAAAGTTAAGCAAACGCTCATCTGCATTAAAGAGCTCAGCTCTGTTGGTATCAGCAGCTGATCGATTTAATATGTGACAAGACTAAAAAATTACTTACAGCCTTTTCGCAGACAAACACTGTCTGGCTGCCACAGTACAAATTTACTGCAGCAATTTTATTCCCATTTATCTTTAATATCTGGATGTCGTCCTAAAAGTAGACAAACATAAAGTAACACAAACACAATGAGGTTTGTTTAAGAGTTGTGATCTATTTTTGGGTGAATGAATTACCTCATATGAACATGAATCACTGCTTCCCTCCTGAAAAGAGCTTACCAACACAAGAAAACAACAACTTTACGTGAGAAATGAATTAGGTGGAAAAGCTTCCCGTTAATAACTTATAGCTAACAGGTTATTGACGCTACTCACCGAAGAACACTGAAAAACATCTTTGCCCTCGATATCACCCTTGAGCCCATTTCAAAACTGGAGTCAGTCAGTTAGTATTAGAAACCAAAATATGTTAACAAAATGGTACACAACTAGGCAAACTTCATGCTACTACTGTTTGACGCTCGCGCGCTCACTCAAACAGTGACGACATGAGTTCACAGGTCATTGCATAAAAAGTGTGAAATTTTTTTATTTAAAAAAACTAGTTGATACATTTAAAAATGTTTTAAATATTTTACTCCAACGAGCAATACATTTTGATACAAAAAATTAATTATTTTAGAGAAGTTAAAAACTGAAAGTAGTTCAGGTTTTCCATTTACGTAGAATGATGTTGCGCCAAGACTGAGAAAAACATAGTCCCAACATATGAGCCACTTTTAATGGTTTTGTGAATAATTATTTCAACGTATTTTGTACTTATAGCTACATATCATATATTTTGTGTTTTTTAATCATTACTGTGAGATTAAGTACAAAAAATATCAAAGTATTGTTAACGGAAGTGGTTTTCGCCCAGGCGGAGGCATATAGGACAACGGGTGACTTACCAACTTCCTTTTTACTGTGGCCGCCATAGTGAGTGGAGCGTGCTTCCCGGCGAGCCGAAAAATAATTACCGAAAATGGTAAGAAATCGCAGGCATATGACTCTGAATATTACGTGTTGTTTGTTATTTCACTGTATAGCCTGCATTTCAGTGGAAGTCTGGAAGTTTTACTTTTTCAAGACGTTATTTTCAAGCAATGAAGAGCAGATAACCTAAACACTCCTAGCATGTGACGCTAACACGAGGAGCCATTTTAGGCGAGCAGTCCGTGATTCAGCCCAGTTACACGTGTACTGGGTGCTTCGTAGCTCACTAACCCGACATGAAGTCGATTTATGATAGTTAATATATTATTGCACTTGACCAAAATCTCTGCTTTAGCTTGCTGTTTGTTTCATCTCGTGGTCATTGTATACTCAAACGAGTGATCAAGGGGGGGAAAAAAGCGTAGCCAGCCATGTTAGCAGTTAGCAGCTATTCATGTACCTTGTCCTGTTGCATTTGAGAAGGCAGTAACCTTTTAAAGTTTGCAATTATTTTTAAAACTGTGCAATGACTAATCGTGAGTTGTGTTTGTTGGATACATTTAAGCCAGTRGCTGCATWATGTGTMGWAACWATGCTTTTGTTTTTGGSACCATGCACGTGACATATATAATTTAWAGCTTGTTTCATCCTCAGGCCTGTGCCCGACCTCTTATCTCGGTGTATTCCGAGAAAGGAGAATCCTCAGGCAAAAATGTAGTCATGCCTGCTGTGTTCAGGGCCCCCATTCGCCCTGATGTTGTGAATTTTGTTCACACCAACATGCGCAAAAACAACCGMCAGCCTTACGCTGTCAGTGAATTGGCAGGTGAGTGTCTTTGTCATATTGATCCATGTTCCCTTTATGAATCATGTTAAATAACTTTTTTTTGCCTATATTGTGTATAAGTCTAATTTTGTTTGTGTGTTTCAGGCCACCAGACAAGTGCAGAGTCCTGGGGTACAGGAAGAGCTGTAGCCCGTATACCCCGTGTTAGAGGTGGTGGTACTCACCGTTCTGGCCAGGGTGCTTTTGGAAATGTATCCTTTTTCATCATACTTAACTGTCTTGTGTGAGCCTGCGTGCCCTTGACAAAACATTGTATACTGACTTGCTGTGATGGTGTAATTTGCGTCTGACTCTGTGATCAGTGACAGTTGCCTGCTGTCACATACTGGCACAGATGGCTGGTGACTCTTGAGTCTGAGCAGGTAATTAGTTATAATATATCGATCATGTTAGTGTCAAGCTTCCTTGACTTTGGTATAGATGTGTCGTGGTGGACGCATGTTTGCCCCCACTAAAACCTGGCGTCGTTGGCACCGCAGGATCAACACACCCCAGAAGCGCTATGCTATCTGCTCTGCCCTGGCTGCTTCAGCCATTCCTGCACTTGTCATGTCCAAGGGTAGGTTTTCAAACCATTACTTTTAAAAGTAGTTACATGTTTAAAAATTAAAATGGAATATTCTGAAATAATATTTTGAGTAGTTATTTTGTTTTGATCTATATTTGACTTGCTGTGATGGTGTAATTTGCGTCTGAATCTGTGAACAGTGACAGTTGCCTGCTGTCGTTAAGCTGTCATAGAGTACTGATGTGTTATAAAGTCTGAGCAAGTTCAGGCAATAAAGTCAGCCATCCCTTTGTAAATATAATTTGATTAAATTAAGTTGTTTGTTAGGTCATCGAATTGAGGAAATCCCTGAAGTCCCATTGGTGGTTGAAGACAAAGTCGAGGGCTACAAGAAGACCAAAGAGGCGGTGCTCCTGCTTAAGAAGCTTAAAGCCTGGAACGATATCAAGAAGGTACAGTTTGGATATTTAAAGACATTGTTGGTTTTCCCCACGTGTCTGTTGGTGAAGTTTTGTAGTCCTGAAATATAATAGATCAGTTGGACATTCTGACAGGTTTGTTTACAGACTTGATATACATGACATTTGGCTTATGATTTTAAACTTTATATTAGATTTTTATTTATTTATTTTTTATCTTGCAGCTTTTTGTAACTACTAACATGGAGTTGCTTATTTTTCATTCGCATGACATTTGCTAAACCACATGCTCAGTGTTTTTTACACCCGTTTTGTGATTTATTGAACATATCACTGAAAACTTATATTTTAGGAGGGATTGTTATGACCTCGCTCAAAGAAGTGGAAACACGCTGAATAACCAAAGAGTGTTTTGTCTTAACTAAACAAAGCAAAAAATGATACAAAACATGATGCTGTCACACTGTAATCTGTACAAATAATTTCTTTTCTTCACAAGTTGGCGTAAGTTGTCTAAAATGTTATAATGGGACGGTGTCTTTAGGATATCTAAGGAAGTGGTTCCCAAAGCTGGGGTTGGGACAAAACATCAACTTTGGGTACCCAGATGATTCTCAGACAAGAGTTTTAATGCAAATAAATTGCAATCAATATAAATGAACAAAAGTAGCGTTGGGGTTATTAGATTGTTATCTTTAACAGGGTTATTGGCAAAGTTTGCAGACGTAAATCAGTAATATCTGGGGTCACAGTTTCTGCAACTGTTTTGTCGGCTGGAAGCAAAAAAATAAATGGAAACCACTGTTATGGGGGAATAACAAAGCAGAGTTCTCCCTCTTTAAAGGAACTGCAGTGAAGAACAGTTACACTTATATTAGTGATTTAGGTTTTGGTTTGTCTTGTGAAATGTGTTTTTCTGAGTGTCCTGTATAAATTGTTTTCAGGTCTACGCCTCTCAGCGCATGCGTGCCGGTAAGGGTAAAATGAGGAATCGTCGACGGATCCAGCGTAGAGGGCCATGCATCATCTACAACCAGGACACTGGTTTAACCAAGGCCTTCAGAAATATTCCAGGTGAGCTCTCATAAACTTAGAATTCACAGCATGGTAAATGCTTTTGAATGTCTGCAAGTGAATAATTGTGCTGCATTATGCAGGCATCACTCTGCAGAACGTGAACAAACTGAACCTCCTGAGGCTTGCTCCTGGTGGTCACGTTGGCCGATTCTGCATTTGGACTGAAAGTGCTTTCCGCAAGCTGGATGAGCTGTACGGCACCTGGCGTAAAGCTGCCACCTTGAAGATCGACTACAAGTGAGTATTTGGCTTATAACGTAAATGACGAGGCACAGCATAGTGTACGTTGTACACGTACTTCACAGTGATGAGCTTCCACTTCATGGTCCGTGTTTTTGAACTATATGATATTTATTGAAGTTCTGAGTTAAAGCAGAATAAAAGTAGATATATCTTTTTTTTGTCTGTCAGAAATTAAAAATGGTTGTTCTTTTTAACAGCCTTCCCATGCACAAGATGACAAACACAGACCTGACCAGGATTCTGAAGAGTGAGGAGATCCAGAAAGCTCTACGTGCACCCAAGTACGTACCTTTGTGTATATTCTGTATGTTAAATTGCTGTGGCTATGATGATATTACACTTCAGGTCCGTGTTTCTGAATCCTGATTATTATAGAAGTCCTGAGCAAAGCAAAAAGACAATCCCTTTCAAAACTCTATAGCAGTCCTTTACATTAAGCCTGGGTTTTTTGTTTTTGTTTTTCCTTGCAGCAAGAAGATCAACCGCAGAGTCCTGAAGAAGAATCCTCTGAAGAATCTGAAGATCATGTTCAAACTGAACCCTTACGCCAAGACAGCAAGACGTCATGCTATCCTGCAGCACGACCCTACTGTAAGTTTGTTTTTTGTATTTATTTGTTTAAGTCGAGATGGAGGTAAAACTTGGTAATTATTATTATTTTTTGTATTACATAAGCTTGATAAGCATGCATTCTGAAACGTTTTTAAAAAACCAAGGGGTTTACTGTGTGAGAAGAAAGAGGCGGTCGTAGGGCAGAGCCAGGAAGGTTCCACAGGTCACAATGATCTCCAGCAGATGGTGCAGTTTCCTGAGTCGGACCACTTGCTCCTGCAGATCAACCTCTGTGCTCAGGAAGTAACACTGTGGAGAAAATGACTCTCAGTTCTTCGCTTAAACTCAGATGTGAAGTGACATTAAACAGTAATCTCACCAAGTGGTTTAGAGTTGTCAGTTCTTCACCTGGGAAATAAACAAATATGATACAGTAATAGATTAAAAGTGGTTTCACATCTATATAAAAACTGTGCGTAGAAATTAAGAATGATCACAAAGTTACCAATCAGGTAGTTGATATAATCTTTTCTCATCTTGTCCAGACCCATCTCCAGGAGCATGATAATGGGGGTGACACCTGTAAGAGAGACGTGTTCGATCTGCTGGTGGTAGGACTGCAGAATAAGCTTACTGAGGGAGCTGCTGCTGTCTCTGTGAATCTACAGTGGGTCCAACAAAACCAACAAGAATCCTCAGTCACAATCAAAGACTTGTACACCACTCAGTTGTGAACAGGTGTCTCCATCTGCACGCTTCTTACCCAAGGCTTGATATCGTCATATCTTAGAGCTTCAATCACCAACTTCAAACTGTCTCTGATGTCCTCATATGATGTCACGCCTCGTTTAAAAAGAAAAATGATTACCTATAGCCTTTGATAAAGTCACATATACTGTAATAACTAAAATAATACTTTTTCTTAACCGAATCCACAGCTGCTCCACAAAATCCAGGTTGCCTCTTTCCAAGAAACAGTTGAAAATGGGGGGGTCCGTCTCAGATTTCAGCTTTGTGGTTTTCAACAAAGCACAACAACAAATACATCAATTTTATTTTTCTTTTACATTTGAGATGAAGCTCATTTTAAACATCATCATACCTCTGCTGTTTTTGCAGCCTGGTCTTGTGACGTTATTGCAGTGGTCTTAAGTTCTGAAAAAGAAAAAAGTCGTTTTAACAGCGTGCTAGCTTCTCAGCATGCTAAAGGCGCATCGATCTTACTGAATACAGACACCTTCAAGGTAGGCCTTGGTCACATTTACAGCTGAAGTGCTTTCTATGGGCTCCATCCATTCAGTCTCACCGGTTTTCAAACAATCTGCAAGACTCTGAAATAATCAAACTGATTCATTTAGTTATTCATTGAAATATTTATCATTATCTTAAATTACAATAAAACACAAACCCGAAGAAACTCCAGCTCCCTATACATCTCAAACATCGGACTTCTCATATCTCCACTGGCAACTTTGATATTCTGCAGGCAAACAAAGACACACAAGACAGGAATTGTGTTTTATGTCATTTCTGTTATTTGACTAAGTAACCATTTCTAAAGTAAAGCATAATAAATATGATGTTTTGGGTATGGATGGTTGCTGTTCACCATTGTTGCTGTTGAAGACAAAGGAGGAGCCTCAAGTACGCTCTCCACGTGACTCCATTTGAAATCCACGGTCACACTGCTCTGTGACTCAATGATGGTGTTTTCAAAAACAGTGGAGCCAAACAAGCTGAACCTGGCATTTCCTTTAAGCCCCATCTAGAACACAATGACAAGTAAAAGTGAATAAATAACCATCAGTGTAGATCAGCCAAAGAGAACACAGTCTGCCTTACTGAGGATGGATGATGTCGTTTCTTATGCTCTTGTTTCAGTTCCTCCAAGGTAAGCAGAGATGGTTTGTCCACAGTGGAACCTGGCAGCATAAAGACAAGTGCCAAAACCACACAACAATTATTTTGTGTTTAAGGATTTCTCAGAATAGTTGGCATAGCAATGATGTTTCAAATATACCTTTGCAGGTTACAGAGTACAATTTGACACCAGTCACTTTATTTCCCACGCAGACTGGTTCAGCACCAAACCAAGTTGTTCCAGCAGGATCAGACATGTCACATCGAACCCAGAGAGGGTGTAAAACAAAACTGCTGTCCACGGCTGACACGCCAGAGTTTTGAAATAATGTGTACAAAGACAGCAGCTGTCTATAAGAAAAAAAAAAGTGGTTAATTACATATGCAACCTCATTTAAAATAAATGCAAAGAAAAAAAAACTTAACCAATGTTCACCTTGCTTTTGTGACTGTAAGCGGCTGCGGTCCCTGTTCATTTTGTAGAACATCACAACCATCATCAGCATCAGATTCTGATCTCTCAATTACTTGTTCGTCATCTGGTTCACTTAATTTTGGAACCTAGTGATATAAATTTAGCAAAAAGTGAAGTAAAAATCACCGAACTGAAAATAAAATCAGTGCAATAATTCCTCTCAGATTTAGGTCTATGTAATTTGCCAGTGACGATTGTTAATTTAACAGTGTTAAGTTATAATAAAGCCCTTTCACAAATTATGTGTAGCTCTTAGAACAACAAAGTTAAGCAAACGCTCATCTGCATTAAAGAGCTCAGCTCTGTTGGTATCAGCAGCTGATCGATTTAATATGTGACAAGACTAAAAAATTACTTACAGCCTTTTCGCAGACAAACACTGTCTGGCTGCCACAGTACAAATTTACTGCAGCAATTTTATTCCCATTTATCTTTAATATCTGGATGTCGTCCTAAAAGTAGACAAACATAAAGTAACACAAACACAATGAGGTTTGTTTAAGAGTTGTGATCTATTTTTGGGTGAATGAATTACCTCATATGAACATGAATCACTGCTTCCCTCCTGAAAAGAGCTTACCAACACAAGAAAACAACAACTTTACGTGAGAAATGAATTAGGTGGAAAAGCTTCCCGTTAATAACTTATAGCTAACAGGTTATTGACGCTACTCACCGAAGAACACTGAAAAACATCTTTGCCCTCGATATCACCCTTGAGCCCATTTCAAAACTGGAGTCAGTCAGTTAGTATTAGAAACCAAAATATGTTAACAAAATGGTACACAACTAGGCAAACTTCATGCTACTACTGTTTGACGCTCGCGCGCTCACTCAAACAGTGACGACATGAGTTCACAGGTCATTGCATAAAAAGTGTGAAATTTTTTTATTTAAAAAAACTAGTTGATACATTTAAAAATGTTTTAAATATTTTACTCCAACGAGCAATACATTTTGATACAAAAAATTAATTATTTTAGAGAAGTTAAAAACTGAAAGTAGTTCAGGTTTTCCATTTACGTAGAATGATGTTGCGCCAAGACTGAGAAAAACATAGTCCCAACATATGAGCCACTTTTAATGGTTTTGTGAATAATTATTTCAACGTATTTTGTACTTATAGCTACATATCATATATTTTGTGTTTTTTAATCATTACTGTGAGATTAAGTACAAAAAATATCAAAGTATTGTTAACGGAAGTGGTTTTCGCCCAGGCGGAGGCATATAGGACAACGGGTGACTTACCAACTTCCTTTTTACTGTGGCCGCCATAGTGAGTGGAGCGTGCTTCCCGGCGAGCCGAAAAATAATTACCGAAAATGGTAAGAAATCGCAGGCATATGACTCTGAATATTACGTGTTGTTTGTTATTTCACTGTATAGCCTGCATTTCAGTGGAAGTCTGGAAGTTTTACTTTTTCAAGACGTTATTTTCAAGCAATGAAGAGCAGATAACCTAAACACTCCTAGCATGTGACGCTAACACGAGGAGCCATTTTAGGCGAGCAGTCCGTGATTCAGCCCAGTTACACGTGTACTGGGTGCTTCGTAGCTCACTAACCCGACATGAAGTCGATTTATGATAGTTAATATATTATTGCACTTGACCAAAATCTCTGCTTTAGCTTGCTGTTTGTTTCATCTCGTGGTCATTGTATACTCAAACGAGTGATCAAGGGGGGGAAAAAAGCGTAGCCAGCCATGTTAGCAGTTAGCAGCTATTCATGTACCTTGTCCTGTTGCATTTGAGAAGGCAGTAACCTTTTAAAGTTTGCAATTATTTTTAAAACTGTGCAATGACTAATCGTGAGTTGTGTTTGTTGGATACATTTAAGCCAGTGGCTGCATAATGTGTCGTAACAATGCTTTTGTTTTTGGCACCATGCACGTGACATATATAATTTATAGCTTGTTTCATCCTCAGGCC